TCCCTGTATCCCAGAACCCTGTTGTTCCAAGGTTGTGCATACATCATTCTTTACCTCTGTCCCACTTAGCCCATACATAGGGTCTGGTGAACTTTAGTCCTCAGAGTGACCTCTGTGATCTTTAACACTTTAAATAGGTCTTTTGCAGCAGATTTGCATAAACTCTGGACTGCTAACTTCGAACCCACCAGCTGCTTAAAGGGAGATAGATAAGGTTTTCTGCTCTTGTGAGTATTTACAACCTCAGTAACCCTATACAAGGTCGCTGTGAGTCAGAAGCAACTGGATAGCAGTGGGGGTTTTGCTTTTATGCCTAATGCAATATATTGTTAGATTTCTTGACTAATCTTTCCAGGAGTGTTTATTGTGGATCCAAGCAAAAGCAAAACGAAATCATTAATGGCTTCAGCCTTTTCTTATTTATCATGATAAGATTTATTGGTCCATTTGTGAAAAATTCAGTTTTTTGTACATTGAGGTGCTCTTCATCAGTAAGTATTTCAACTCTGCTTCTAGCCAGCAAGTTTGTGTCATCTGCATATTTCAGGTTGTCAATGAGTCTTCCTCTACTCCTCATGACGTATTCTTCTTCGGATAATCCATCTTCTAGGATTGTATGCTCAGCATACAGATTGAATAAGTATGATGAAAGGATAAAACCCTGGTGCACATCATTCGTGATTTTAAAACCTTTCAGTATCCCATTGTTTTATTTGAATGATTGCTTCTTGGTTTATGTATAGGTTCCTTGTGACCACAGTGAAGTATTCTGGAATACCCATTCTTTAGCAATATTACAAAGTTTGTTATTATCTAATGTTGAATACCTTTGCAGAGTCAATAAAACATAAATAAGCATTTTTGGACTTCTGGTGTGGACTGTGAACCACAAGATTGGCAGTTCAAACTCACCAGCTGCTCTTCGGAAACCCTATTTAGGGTCGCTATGAGTTGAAACTGACTTGATAGCACTTAAAAACAACCACAACAAGCATCTGTCTTTCTGGTAATCTTTGTTTCCAGCCAAAATCTCTCTGACATTATCAGTGTTAGCTACACATCCTCTTCTGTATCCAGCTTGAAA